CAGATTTAGGGGGTGGAAAGAGCCCGGTCCATGGAGTCCTGTGTTGGGAGAGGCTGCTGGAACTGGGACATGATGACAGAAAGCTCTGCTCTGCCCTCACGGCCTCTATAACACACGACAGCAACTATGCAAGCCTGTTTCCTCAGCCATCATATGGGGGTACCCATTTCACCGCTTGTTGTGACCTTGACATTAGCTCAGTGGCATGTGTGAACCCAACCCTCATGGCAGGAATATTAAACCACTAGGGAATGCTGACGTGGAGGGACCTGGGCAGCCAGAGAAATATTTTAAGGTCATCTCAGGCCTCCAAGGATTTAGGACAGGTAAGGCAGAAAAGAGATATAAAACTATGTGTGTGTATGTGTGTGTGTGTGTAAAATGTTCACAATTCTGGAACTAATTCTGGTGGAGTCTTAACTCCTACTTTTTTAAAATTGAAGATAATGTGCAGAGTGTGAGTCTGGAAGTCTCAAAATTGTGAGCAAGTTGAGGTTAAAAATCCAGAAGGGTGCAGGAAAACAATGGCTGTGACTTCACTAATATGTGTGCTCTCTTAAGACAATGGGGTTCCTTTAAGGATTTCTGGGGTGAAAAAAGTGTAGGGAAATGACCAACATTTATTGAGTGCCTACTGCATACAGAGTATTACAAAGAGCTAGGTGCGTGGAAGTTCAGAAAGGAACAGAAAAAGAGCAAACACCCCCAGTGGATGTCCACTGGTGGATGAATGGATACACAAAATGTGGTCTATACATAGAAAAGAATATTATTCAGCTTTAAAAAGGAATGAAGCTCTGATACATGCTATAATATGGATGAACCTTGAAGACACTATAAGTGAAATAAGCCAGTCACAAAGGACAAATGTTGTATTATTCTACTTTTATGAGGTAGTCAGAATAGTCAAATTCATAAAGATGGGAAGTGAAATAGGGGTTGCCAGGGGCTGGGGGATGGGTGGGGGTAGGAATGGAATTATTGTTCAATGGGTACAGAGTTTCAGTTTGGGATGAAGGAAAAGTTCTGGATATGGATAATATGTTGCATCAATGTGAACATACTCAATGTCTCTGAACTGTACACTTTGGTAAATTTTTACTACTGTATTATATTACTGATATGATATTTGTGTGTATGTATATTCATGTTATACATTACTTAATTACATACAAGGCTCTAATCGAGCCTATTCGCAAGAAAAAAAAGGTAAAAATAAAGTGGTAAATTTTGTGCTATGTGTATTTTAACACACACTGAAAAACAAACAAAAAACAAGGACTGGAGCCCCCTTTGGCCTCTAGACATTTGAGTTTACAAAAAGGGAAGATGCATATAGCTGCAAGGAAGGGCAGCTGCAGGGTGAAAGAATGGTTCTGAGGCTAGTCACGGACCCCGAGGCACCACTCAGTTTTGAGTGGGGGAATCAGAAAGCACTTACCACTGGGCATAACAATTATCTACCTGGCTTCCCCAAGAGACAATGAGCACCTCACTAGGCACAAAGTAGTATCTCAGCAGAGGCTTGTGGGATACTTCGAGAAGGGACGCAGCCCCAGGTGTCCCTACAAGTTTGGAAACATGTTGGTATTCACATTCATGGGTAAACTCCTGGGATGCTCTGGGGCCAAGAGAGGCGTCCAAGTTCCCAACCCGGGAGTTTAATCCCCCAGGTCTCTGCCAGCCTTCACCCATCGAAGGAGGCCCCTGGATCTTACGGAGCTCTCAATCAGGGGGCCGAATGCAAGGGGCCAAGGCGGCGCCTTCCGAGGCTTCCGCTGCTTCCTCGATTTCTGCGGCTACACAATCCGAATAACCCTCCAGGGGCTGCTGGAGCACCCAAACCGTCCAAGAGAAAACATGAGAAACCTGCGGCCCAAAGAAATACCTCTGCTCCTGCTCAGTCGCCCCAGAGAAGAACTGGGGACTCAAGAAACGTAAAGCTCTGCTGCCGGACGCCCAGTAGGAGGGAAGTCCGGGAGTCCGCTGGCCACACTTGGCTTCTCCAGCTCCGGATCCAGACCTGAGCCGGGGCCAGCAGGGCGCCGCGCCGCCGCCAGGGGGCAGCCCTCCCCCACGTGGGCACCACCTGGCCAGGCAGGCGCCGGGCGTTTTCCGCGTCCACGCGAGCGGAGCACACGGGAGGGCGATCGCCGCGTGGTCCCCAGCCCGCCCCACAGAATAGTTTCTCATCCCCCGTGCTAGCTTGAGTGGGTGGCGGTGGATATTTCCCAGCCGCGGCTGAGAACTGGGAACGCGTTTGGAAGGGAGGCTCGGAGGTGGGGCACGAGGGGAGCAAGAGGGGGACACGCGGGAAATGAAACACTTGGGTTTCCGCGCTCCGGAAATTTCACGAGCGCGGAGCTAAAGGTCGCATACGGATGTGTAGCTTAACTAAAGCAAACAAAGCAAGTGACGTGCCCCAATGTGGGGCTTTAGAAAAGCTCACCCAAATCTCTGGGAACACCGTCCCTGCAGCGCTCCTCCTGGGTTGATCTTCCGCTCTGACCTTCACTAAATCCTAACACTTACCCGTGAGGGGCCAAAAGATAATTTGCCACGTTTTTCAAACGTTTCCAGGGAAGACCCCTTGAACCCTTTGGGGAGGGAGCTTTGGACAAAGTTACAAAAACGGAACGCAAAGTCAATCTCTTTGCCCTCCTTGGCCAGACAAGTTCAGGGTGATGGAATGACGGCTGTAACTGATCATCTAAAGTAACTAATGGTCTGCGAACAAATTCTTCCTCTCCGTTTTATCTTCAAATACTTCGCCACACACCAGTCCTCAGTCTAGTGAAAATCATGGTGTTTATTTAGCTATCGACTGAGTACTTATAAACCTTCAACTTCCAAATGTAAAAGTGAACTCCTTGGTAAGGACTCCTGGCTAGATCAACAAAGCGATGTAATGCCTGATTAATAGTGCTGATTAATGTTGGCTCAGGTTAATGCTGAGCCCATTACAATAATTAAATGGTTCAGCCATTTTTCAGACGAGAATCAATGAAAAATAATTTATTTAGAACTTTGAGGCGTTCTCATAGATCTTTCAGAGATCTGTGGTGGACTTTATGGGTCATTTGTAAGTGTAACTGGGGGGTAGCTGTCCTCAGCAACAAAAACTCGATTTTGAAAGAATTCTTGGGGGGGCAGTTTATTTTTGAGACTCTGATTGACAAGGGGAGTAAGACCTTTGAAAACGTGAAAAACTTGGTAGATAAAAAGACGTACACAAAGGCAGCTGATGATTGTTCCTACAGAAAGCCATTGATTTTTGATAGTTTTTGTTAAGTGGTCATTTTAAACAGAAAGCTAAAATTTTGAGGCCGGTCCCCACTTTAAAATAGAAGCATTTTGGGAGATGCAAAAATCCAAAAGGAATGGCTATGTGAGTGTGAATTCCACAAGCTATTAGGGTTTTTACACTAGCCACAATAATTTGAGTTGACGACAAAGATAGGAATACTTAAAATAGCGTATTCGAGTTATTTCTACTACCTTGTCACCTGAAAAGAAAAACTGGGCTGAACAGAACTCAGATCTTATTTTACAATATTATTTCGTTTCTTTCCACCAGTAGCTATTGGAAATATTTAGATTTTCCAAAAACATTTTTAAAAGCTGGTTTGAAAGTTTTAATTAATATAGTTCCTATTATTAAGCCTGAGTAGAGGTATGTGTATATGTTGTAGTTACTTAAGCATTTTGAGATTACTGTGAAGTGTTGATTAGAATGTTCCTCTTACTGAGAACTAGAGAGTCCCTTAACCCATTAGGAAAGAACTTTCTGAGTTGTTTCTAGGTGCATTTTGTGTGTGTGGGGGGGGTTTTCACTAACATTTTCTATTTCTTTTCTGCATTCCATGATTACTTTCTTTATTCCCATGAAATTTGTCAGATCCTCTCGTTAGGGTGGCTTAGTTTAGCTGTCAAGTTTCTAGGGCATTCAATTGCGGATAAGTGACTAAAACGCCAGCCTAACCACATTTTTACTAACAGATGGCGGAAAACAAACGTCTCTGGAGAAGAACCGAAAGGGACAGGTTAAAAGGTCAGTAAACAATTATTGTTGTGCTTAAACTGGGGGTTTCTCAACAATTTGATGGGGAGCCGCTGGCCCAGTCTGAGGGAGATGGGACAACCCAACGTATCTCAGCCATTCCTCAGGGACCACCTCGGACGATTGGGGGAGGGGAGTTACTTCCGGGCTGGACGGCTCCTACAGGCCATCGAGTGGTCAAACTGTCGCGTCACGAGAGTGCTTCTGAGGTTAGGGCTGAGGGCTAACTGAAGAGAAGGAGCCTGGGAATTCTACCTCTTGCATCCGCCCTAGGTCCAGACCACCGCGGGCCAGCGCGTAATTCAGGTCTCAACCCCTTTGACAAGGAGTGGTGGGGTCCTCTCTCCTCGGCCTCCCCCCACCATCTTCTCAGTTGCTGCTCCCTCCTCCGGGTAAACTTTCACTCCGGAGCAGGGCTGATTTCCTAGGCATTCTATCCCTTCCCTCGGTAGCGCTCTGACGTGCACACCATGTGACAGGCCTCCTACTATAAGCCGAAGAAAGGTCCGCCCTCTCCTGGACTCAGCCCTCGCCTCGCCGAACTCGGTCCCTAGACTCTCACCGGTCCCGCACCTTCCCGGGCGCCCGGCACTCTGACTGGCCCGCTCGGGGTCTCGCCACCCCCTCCTCACTGACCCCGGCGCGGGCCGCTCGGAAAGGGGAAGGTCAAGTCCCCCGCCTGGGACCGGTGCGCGCGGAGCCGAGGGAGTGCAGAGACCGTGCGGCTCTGGCGGCAGCGTAGGAGTTACAAAGTCGCGGCGCGAGCCTCCGCAGCCGCCGGGCAGTCCCCGGGCAGCCCCCGGCCCAGCTCGAGCAGCGGCGGCGCCCCCAGCGTGGCGCCCCCGTGCCGGGCCCGCCGCCCGGGACCCGGGCTGGGGAGCGGCGGGAGCCCGGAGCCCGGCGCCCCTATGCGACGCCTCGCCGCCGCCGCGCCACAGCTATGACCCTGAGCACGGAGATGTCCGATGCCTCCGGCCTCGCGGAGGAGACAGACATCGACGTGGTAGGGGAGGGCGAGGACGAAGACGACGAAGAAGAGGAGGACGACGACGAGGGCAGCGGTGGCGTGTCCCGCCTGGCGGTGCCCGCGCAGCGGCGGCGGCGGCGGCGGCGCTCCTACGCCGGGGAGGACGAGCTAGAGGACCTGGAGGAGGAGGAGGAGGAGGACGATGACATCCTGCTAGCCCCGCGGTCAGGGGCCTCCCCGGCGCCCCCGGGCCCAGCCCCAGCGGCTGGGGCCGGGGCGGCT